AAACTGTAACTATAATTGCTGTACTTTGTCCAATTTGAGGATAACATTGTCTCATATATGTTGAATAAAAGTATCCAACATCACATTCACAATTTACACCAATACAATATTTAGCAGTATAATTACTAATGTCAGTAGAAACTCCTTTTAATACACCATTTGTTTGGATTTCTGATTTTCCTCCAAGATAAAGAACTTTATTATTCATTTGTATTGAATATCCAGCATATCCATAAGTAGTAGTTCCAGTAGAATTATAAACTAATGCAAATCTTCCTGAACCAGTAGAAGTTAAATATTTATCAAAGAAAATTTTTACACCTCCAACACGTTCTTTTGAACCTTCAGTATAACCAAAAAGTCCAATTGCAACAAAAGAACCATATGTAGAAATCATTGGAGCATATAAAGTATTAATTGGAGTTATTGATGAAGAATTACCATTAATTTTAACATTTTCAATATAATCAGGTGAACTAAATGAACTACTTGGAGAATTAACTTGAATTCTTCCAACATCAGATAATACATTATAAATAACATCATGTTGTGACATAACCATTGGATCATAATCATAAAGTTGTGTTTTATTATCTCCAATACTAAACCATTTATAATATGTTAATATTCCACCAGTAGAAATTGAATAAAGTTCTACCATTGATGTGTTTTTAACTGCAAGATAATCATAACCAACACTTATATATTTACCACAAGCTTTATCATATTCTTTAACTAATTGTAATGTTTCATTATAAACAGTTAAATGTCCATTTTTACATACAACTGCATAAACTTCTCTTTTACCTGCAATAAATTCTCTATCAATAACAGCTAATGGTGAATATTCATCAATCCCACTAACAGAAACAGTATTATCTAATACTGGTGTAGCTTTAGTAATATCAAATATTTCTAAATTTTTATTATTTAAGAAAAATAACTTCTTTGAAGATGCAGCAATACTTGGTCGTGAAACTTCTGATGATGAAACACTAATAGAAGTTGTTGAAATTGATGGATGAAGACAATCAATTTTTAGTGCATTTCCATTAGAACTACTTGCTGTATAATGAAGAACATATGTATATTTATATTCTGATTCTTCATCATGAGTCATTGAATAAACAACTTCTGATTGTGGGTCTTTTTTCCAGTCTACCTGCTCTAAGTTCAGAGCTGATGTAGTAATAATGTATAAGAGAAACAAAACAAACATTTGATTTTTGAGTTTAGAGGAGTTATAAAATTTTTATCTAACTTAAATTTACAAATTATATCTATGATTTTAGGGAATCTATTTTGGTTTATACTATTTTTTGTTTTTCAGTATATAAAAATGTTAAAAGATCTCTTAATTGGAACTTAAAATTGAAGAGAAATGGCGGAAACAAAACAAAATCGACATTTTAATTCAATTAAAATTGGGGAATTATTATCGATTTCCACAAGACCAGAACTAGGTCCGACAGATATATTATATGAATATCAACAATATCTTGAGGGATATTTTACTAAAACATTATCAGTGAGAAAAGAAAAACCTAAATATATTGTATGTGATGAAAGGTCAAAATTGTTGTTAGAGTTGACTGTTGGTACTGAGTTACAAAATCCAAAGTATTCAATAGAAGATATATTATTACCATCAGAAGTAAATAATTATAGAAGAGATGTCACAAACTTTATTTTTTTAGCAAGTGATATTGAAGGATATAAACAAATAGCAGAAGCAATGAAAAAGATTCGATCTAATAATCAAAGTGAACTTAATGATGATAGTTTAATTGAGAATTTTACAATATTACGTCCATTTGGTACTGAGATGTGGGATATAGAAATGATTAATTTTTGTGATATGACACGATGTAAAATAGAAAGATTACCTATTATTCTTCCACTTATTCAAGAAGATGTTTTATCAATGCAAATTGATGATGCATTTGTTAGAATTTATTCAAATTTTGATTTAGGAATTTTACAATTATGTGCTGAAGGAATAAATGATCTTCAAAAAGTTATTGGTAGATTTCCAAGAATTCATTCATTAGGAAAATTATCAAGAAAACTTAATATAATGATATCAAATCCTATAGGTGAAACAGGAGTATCAACAAGATTTAGTGATGT